ATGTGACATCCCGAAATTTAGGGCCTAGATTTCAAACGACTAAATTACGGCAAATCTATTCGTAATTAATTTATTCAGCTTTAACTGCATCTAATGAAATATAAATGAGTTAATTTAATTTATTATATAATATTTGATGATATTATTATGCCCAAACGTGTAAACTGGTAACCAAATCAAACCGCTCAGCTGCAGCGCTGACTAATGCGTCTGAAAACTGAAATTTAACATTAATCATTTTTGAGCAAAATAAATACAAAAATATGATAGTACATGTTCCCCCATTTCCAAAAATATAAAGAACGTCCAAAACAGAGTTCGTATGCAAAAGATACAACCGCTTTAAGAAAACAGACAGTAAAACACTGGTTTTCTTTAATCGCGTAAAACCGATCGATCCGTTGAGGTACTTACGCTTTGCCGACGAGATTTCTGAGAGTGTTTTTGGACTCAGGTTATAGTCTATTATTTAATTTCACACTTGAAATAATTTTTACGAAAATATTTACAAAAGTCGCGAAAATGGACACCACGAGCCGTTTTGACGCAAATCTTTAAACGCAATTTCCCGGAGTTCCATAACTCCAAAAATTAATCCGTTTGGGTTTTTGGAATCCTTGAATTACCCTCTTTCATAAGAAATTTTTGAAAACGCAATCCGATGTCGAGGTATCGATTCATCAATTTATAAGTGTTTTGGATAAATTAAGTGATTAAACTATTTTGTGGGACCCATATGCCTTGCACAAGAGTATATGGCCAGCTCTTAAGTCCTTTTTGCTTCTCTCTTTGTCCATTCCCACGTGACAAAATCTCTCCCCTATCCTTCTTTGTGTGCAAGTCTTCCCAAAAATGGTACATGCATAAGTGGAGGTATGGTTGCAATACATGTATGTGTGTACGTGTTATACTATAAATAGAAGGGGTTAGTTGTTCATTTTCCTCACAACTCCAGCCACTTCTTTCCTCTCTCTAGTTCTTGATCTCTTCCTCTCTAAACTCTCTCTATCTCTCATTCCCGGTTTCAAACTTCACCCCACTGCCACCCTCCTCTTCACCGGAATCCGCCGGAGAAAACAAGGAAAAAGAAGGCAGTCAAAGACCACCACCTCGTCACCAACCATCACCGTCCTTCACACCTGCTATTAATGCTTCGTAAGCCATCACCTTCTTTCTATATATGTATATATTTTGATGTCCATTCGATGATAAATTGCACAAACCGAAATTTTTTTTTTTTTGGTGTTATATGCATGTGTCGATCACACAGGAGGTGATCGCCTTCCCCTCCTCTAATTTTGATTTAAATTAAAGTCCACCACATCCGTTATTTTATTTTATTTTCTTTGTTGTGTTGATCGCAAAATACCAGCCAAAGAAAATCATTTATATATTTTTCTCTTTCTCTCGTTTGCTATTCGTTCATGGGAACGGGAAAGAAAAAGGAACTGTTCACACTTTGTTTTAAAGTTAATTCCAACAACCCTTATTTAAAAATTTCTTACAAATATAGTCCTATCCTATTTATTTATTTAGCATTCGTTCATGCCAAGAGAGGAGTGTCCTCCACTTCAAACTCCATTTCAAATTTAATTCAAACCCCTCTACCCTTATTTAAAAATTTCTTACAAATATAGTCCTATCCTATTTATTTATTTAGCATTCGTTCATGCCAAGAGAGGAGTGTCCTCCACTTCAAACTCCATTTCAAATTTAATTCAAACCCCTCTACGCATATACGATTTTTGATGAGTGAGTATGCAAGCCAAGTCTAAAAACTTCCATTTTACTTACTTAGTTCCAACCCTTCCTTCCAAATTGTATTACAAAACAAGTCACAAGTCTCAAAACTTTGTCTATTTTATTTATTTTAACCCCTCCATAGAGATTTATTTGCAAAATAAATCCCAAACTCAAACCTTGAAATTAAATAAACAATTTTAGTCCATTATTTGAAAATTCTTAACTTAATCTATTTGAGTTATTTAAATTAGTACATGAACCCTTCGCATATTAATTTATGTTAAAATTTCTAGGAAACTAAATAAATCTCGACGGTTCGTTATCAAAGCGATACTTCTCGTTTTCTCGCGTCAAATACTCGAAACGACTCGACAACCACATATTAAGGTGAGAGTTACGGCCCCTCTTTTTGTATTTATTTGTTTTGGGGGAGAATACATGTGCTATATATTATTTATGATACAAATATATAAGTCTTATATGATATGCATGCTACAAATTTAAGTTATAAATACTTCCATCATGCATAAGACTTTAAACACTTATACAAGATCGTTATGTTAAAATACATATCTCTATAAAAGCGACTAATTTATAATTTTATAAATACGTCAACCATACTCGACTTTACAAATACTATACTATGAGTTTCATTGTGCCCGGTACTTATCTATAATTAAGTTAGGGCTGAGAGTTATTCACAAACTTTGCGTTAATGGTTTTTGAGTGAGACGCTACTATTCATTAGCTGAGTTTAATCACTTAGCCTGCCCCACACTGCTATAATCGTTAATCTTCGGAGCGAGTTACATATATATAGATCTATATAGGGTTGACAACCCCACCTGCGGTTGCTAGCTACAACCATCGACTGATCAATCGAAGCAGGTGATATGTGTCTACGATCGTTACTACGACGTCCAATGAAGCGTCGTAGGGAGGGGTACTTTTCGTCTATAGCTCGATTATAGAACTCACTAAAAACATTAACACGAATCTCTCTCACTTTTTCACTACAACCATAGGTTTGGTTGCCTTCAGAACTGTTTTTAGGTATAGTGGTTACTTATACAATGGATAAATTTAAACTTTCATGAAGTTATATCAAACACGTTTTCTTTAAAAGCATAGATTTATTTATAAAATTACTTATTGGCTTTTAAAGACTCATGACGAGCATTGTTTCAACTATTGTTATACAAGAAAAATATACTTTTGGACTTTTGAAAGTATTATTACTGCGGCTAGCAGAAAACCTGTGACTCTCACCAACCTCGTGTTGACTTTTAAAATACATGTATTCTCAGGAAATCAGTGAAATTACGGGCACACTCAGACGATGGAAAACATGGCTCGCAAGTACTTTAATTTTCTACTTTTGAACTGTTATGTCTAACTGTTAAGGCAAACTCGTATTATTATTTTATTACTATCTGTAAGAACCATGTATGAAAACATAAACATGTAATGAAATGTTGTTTTGTTTATTGTTGTACTTGTGCTGTATATTCAATTTATCTGTGATCCATGAACTTAGTCGCACAGCCCGGCATGTTTCGCCGCCTCGGCCGGGGGTGTGACAGTTGGCATACTTCGTTTGACCGAAGAGTCGGGACTTAGACCACGTACACGCAACGTACCATTTGGTACGCCCATTGTACGCACCTAGTCAGCTACCCTTCTCAAAAAGAGCTTAATATATTAATACTTTTTGTCTAAAACCATACGATGCCCAAAAATAACATTATAAGTCATAAAGTTTCCAACTTTATGAGTTTGCATGGCTAGAAGTGCTTAACACCGACAAACCCTAACTTCTTAATCCATGGGGACATCCTAACACATGTATAGGGAAGAATTTAGATCCAAGATCACATTTTTATGCTTTTAAACATCTCAAAATGTCTGAAAAGGACAACTTATATGGGCTAGAGCATGCCATACTCATAAAGGTCAAGACTTGGGACCAAAATGCTCCATGAATCAAGACTAACAAGATCTAACGAAATGTAAGCGAAGTTCAAGACTTTATACCTCCAAATGATGCCAAAAGATGATGTTATTCTGGATCTAAAGAGTCCCCTTCCTCCAAGGTGATCTTCTCTTCTTCCTTTCTCCTTCAAGACTACCAAGATACACACACAAAGCTCAAAAAGGCTCTAGATGGATTAGGGTTTGCTTTGGAAGGAAAAGTGGGTTGGAGGCTGATGAGGGAATACGCCTTGGGGAGATAATGTTGTATAAAAAGGGTCCAGACCCTAAAAATTAGGGTTTGTGGATCAGGCAGTACGTCGTACGCACACTTTGTACGCTCAGCGTATCTGAGTTCGGTCCAAAATTACAAAAATGCCACTATGGGCCATTTTGAAACATTTCTCATACACAAGGGCTAATGCAATTAATCTTCATACTTGGGGTTAAAATTAGAAATACATCATCATCGAAATGTTACACTTATGGTTTGACTTAGATCTTGTGTTCTGAACGTCGTAACTTCTTCGGATCTCAAATTTTAACAATCTTTATATCCACGCGTTCATATTTGAGTATACTACAAGTTTTTTTTTTTTTTTTTTTTTTTTTTTTTTTTTTTTTTTTTTCAGATTAATCTCATTAAAAAGTAATATATTTTTACTTAGGATTTTATAAAAAAAAAAAAAAAAAACTTTCATACATATATTCATAAAGAACCCATGGATATAAAGATCGTAAGTAAAAATATATATTACTTTTTAACGAGAGTAATTTAAACGAAAGTTGTAGTAGAATCAAATATGAATGCATGAATATAAAGATCATTAAAATCCAAGATCATATAAAGAAGTTACAATGCTCATAACAAAATACCTAAGTCAAGCCATAAGACCTAAACAATCAAACAATCCAGACCGTGGTGATAATAAACATCAACAACCCCGAACACCATACTAATTATTGTCCTACATAAGATGTCATGAAAAAAACCAAAAAAAGTTGGTTATAAGTATTGAATATATATATAAAAATAACAAAAACTTATTTTGCAATATAAAAAATATTAAGGAATAAACATGTATAAAAATATTAATGATTAAATATGTACAAAGTGAAAAATATATTATCCTGTTAAGTTATTTTTTCTAACTTACATGGAGTAACCAGTTATTAAGACCGAGTTTAACAAATTAAATAAATAAATATAAAAAAAAAAAATAACATATATACAAATCAAAAAAATATATATTAAAACAAACACCCTTCGATCCTTTTAAGGAATAGGCGAAATTGTTATATTGAAGGCCGCTTCAATTTTTCTACTTTTGTCGTACTGTAAAATTTCCCAAAACCCAAACCCTAAAGATGAACTCAGTGTCCAGGAGCTTCTCGTCCATCTTCACACACCCAAATGTCGCATTAAACAACCAGATCTCATATTTACAGCAATGGCGGGGGATCCGAGTGAAGATTTTGAACAACAATTTGGAGAGAGGACTGACTTATATGCAGAGGATAATGCAATCCAGTGGCATCGAACGGATGATTAAAAACGAACAGTTATATCACATCAAGAACTCAGAGAAACGAATTTTGGCTCGAAAGAATCTACAGCGTAGGCTTAAATCGCAAGACCTGGCTCGTAAGCTCAAATCGATTCTCGTTAGAAAAGTCAGGTACGATGATGCGGTTCTAATTGTTTTAAGTTTATGCATTACGTGTTTTAGGTATTTAGCTGATTGCACTTTCGTCAAATATATGTTGCTTGTGAACATAGATGGTCCTGGAGATTTTGATTTTGTCATATATATTGCTGCAAGATTGTTAATTTACATGTTTACATCTCTTGATTTGTTCAATTTACTTTTACTTTTCAATGGAGGAAACCGATTGAACTCACTTACATGAAAGTATTCAAACTCCCTGTTCTATCGAACTCAGTGCCAACCATTTCATGAATATCAGGATGAAACTTGAGAGCATGATATTTAAAGACATCTTAACCTGTTGATCTCTGTTCTTTGTTGTGCATTAGTTAGTCTATTTGGAATTTGATCAAGCTACTCGAATTCATGTGTCACTTTTTTGGCAACTTTAAAGGCCTTGAGGTTATGTTATGGTTTTGTTTTTGACATGCAGGGGTTATTGAGCATATCTGGTTGAATGCAGAAGAGAGTTGTTTGGTTTTTTGTTGCTTTGATCACAGCCATTTACTGCATAAAATTGTAACATCTGTTTGTTTAAATTTCTCATGAAATAGTTTTATTACATGTTACAGATGTGAAATTGTGCATTAACATGGAGAATAACACTATCTAGGCCTATTATGAAAACCTTATGATAAATTTAAATATAAAATCTTTGATTTATATGCTTTAATTTTTTTTAAGATTAAATACCTTCATCAAAATGTGTATGTTTTTACTCTTTACACACAATTATTGATTTGATATAAATATGTTTCGAAGTTGACTTGAATGTTGGTATTACTTCATTGTTATTTGGTGTTGGAGTTGAAAAATAAAAATAGTTATCAATTTAATTGAATTTTCAATACATTGTGAAGTTTTTCATGATCATGATGTCTGGTTTAGGTTAGCTAAATTTGCAAAGTCTGAATCATCAAACATGAGTTTTTATGTTTTAGAGATGGCGAATTCTTGGTTGACTTTTAGGGTTTGCTTTGTTTAGTTGAATGGAATCACAAAAATTGGAATGAACAACGGAATGGAATAAACAAGGAAATTGAATGAGAATTGATTATTAATTTATCATGTTTGGTTGGTTTGAGGTATACCGCATGTTTGGTCCCTAACTTATTTTTTTTAACTCGGACCGTTCTTATAATGTATTTTTGTTTGTGGTTGGTTCCTAATGGATTTTAAATGATTGTTATGCCCTTATAGTTTTTTAAACTTTTTTAAGATTTTTGTTTATTATTATATTTTAATTAAATGTAAAAATAAAAAGTAACATAAAGCTAATAATTAACAACTTTTTCTCACCCTCGTAACATTCACCCCTACTCGTTTACTTCACTTGCAACCTTCATTACCTCTCTCCCTCTCTAATCTCATTCTCTGAATCATCATCCCCACAAAAACCCACTTTTAAAAAGTAGTATGACATTCCTATTCTCTCTCCATATTTCTTCTTTAAACCAAAGGAAGAACAACCTTAGTGGAATTTGTGGACCACCGGACCAAAGTCGCCGGAAACCACCAGACGCCGCCAGATGAATGGACCCTAGACGCCAAAAATAATAGTACGTTGCCTAAGACTAGAGGTCGCCATCGATTTGTACTCTAAATCCACTAAAAACCGTCGGTCATTGTCGGACCACAAATGTAGAAACAACCAGATGTCGTCATAAACATACATAGGTTGTTGATCTGAACTCTAAACACTTCATATGCGTACGTACATTGCCGATCTTTTTTCTAAAGCCTCCACGAACCTTTGAAAGTCATCAATCTGGACTCGAAAGTCATAGAACTACACCATCGACCATATGATCCCTCAGTATGCACCATTAGTCGCCGATCTGCATCATCTCCAACAATCTGCACAATAAACGCTGATGTACACCTCCTTTGTATCTGTCATCGACATAATCATCGTCGCATCCAAACTAACAAACATAAACATTCTCTGTGTTCTGATCTGCGTTCTGATCTGGATTTGTTGTTTGATTTCCGGTTAGTATATTTTGATTTGATTTTTTTAATGCATATGGTTTGAGTGGGTTCGATGAGGTGATTTATGTGGTGGCAAAGATGCTGATGATTTACTTCGGTGGCACAGACGGAGGTGGAACTATACTTCCAGCAATAGATAAATAAATGGATGAAAGATCGGAAGAGATTTCATAAATATATAACACTAAACTCAAAAAGAATATATATATATATATATATATATATATATATATATATATATATATATATATATATAATAATTTTATTAAAAGAAAAAGAAAAAGGTTAGGGCAATATAATAGTCTTTTTATTTGGGGAAATCTACGAAAAAGTCCCAATATTTTAGGTCAGTTTACGATTTAGTCCCAAATTAAATTTTGTTTACAAAAAAGGACAGATTACTGGCTAAAACTTCGGATTAGCCCTTCGTGGCCGATTTCACAGATTTAGCCGGTATCTCGTCTTTTTTCGTTAATTAATTCAAATTTTGGGGCTTTTTCATTAATTAATCAAAATTTTAGGGTTTTTTCATTATTTATTACCAATAAAGCAAAATATTTGGATTTTTCTGAAGATTACCTTTAAACTAATATATATTATATTATATGATCTAATTTAATATGTACTATTCCATATCTTCTTTCTTATGCTCTTCTAGGCTCACTGTGTGTTTTTATCGGTGTCGTCAAACCCAACAACAAAAATCTCACTCACAAGCCTCGTTAACTCCATCAATTTTCCAAAATTATATATTCACAACTCTATGATCATCTTTCAATCTCCAAATAAAGAATGGAGAAAATCCTTGTTAATTACGTGGATGTCCCTATTATCTAACCATGACTTAAACCGTGGTTCCAACACTTGGATGTTCCTATTACCTAACCATGACTTGAACCCATACACTAATGGCGTTGTCCATAGTGTTGTTAACAATAGAAGACGAATCTCACATGTTCAACCACTGATACATTGGCTCAAGTCTTACTTGACCCTTGTTTCCTTACAACACTATAGAAGCCCCAACATAAGATGAATCCCACATGGTTCATCATTTATTGGTTTTTTTTGTCAAAAAGTAAAGCATTTTGGAAGCCCCAAATAGACTAAAACGTAATAATGACAATTATTGTAATATCACACCAATTGTCATTATGACTTAAACGTAACATCACAACAATTGTCATTATTACATTTTAGTCTATTTGGGGCTTCCAGAATGCATTAGTTTTTGGCAAGACAAAAACCAATAAATGATGAAGTTTTTGATAAAGATCGGAACACAATCTTATTGATGGATCCAAGAGCTCCTTCTCGTCCCAAGCCTTTTTCTCCTCAATCTTCTTCCAAAAAATGCACTACAATATGCAATATTATCCCCTCTTTCTCTCCTACAAGCATATAGCTCAATTAGGGTTTCTCTCAGAGTGTTAAGATGACAAGGGAGGCGGAAATGAAGGCTTAAGGTCCTTTAAATAGGACACAACCCCTGAAAATTAGGGTTTTCAAACTCAGCTCCTACTCGTCGAGTTGGGGTCCTCCAACTCGTCGAGTAGACTCTAGAAATTACGCGACCATTAACACTCTCTACTCGGCGAGTTGGGGCCTCTAACTCGTCAAGTTGATAAGACAACAAGAATACAAATTAATTAAATATTATACCTGGGAGTCGGGATGTTACACCTATTGTAAGGAAATAAGGGTCAAGTAAGACTTGAGCCAAGGTATCAGTGGTTAAACCATGTGGGATTTGTATTTTGTTGTTAATAAAAATATGGACAATGCCATTAGTGTATAGGTTCGAAATAAGGTTCGAGTCATGGTTAGGTAATAGGAACATCCGAGTGTTGGAACCGTAGCTCGTAGGTATACCAAATTAATATTTTAATAGTTTATGATGGATAGCTTGTTGACATTTTTTTTACAATTAGAGTTAACATTCTTCATGGTTTTCAGTACATAATATCGAGTTGGTTTTTTTACCTATGTTGTGTTTTTTAAGCTTAATGGTTCATTCTTCATGGTTTTAAGCCCTATTGTAAGGAAACAAGGGTTATGTAAGACTTGAGCCAAGGTATCAGTGGTTAAACCATGTGGGATTCGTATTTTCTTGTGAACAACACTAAGGACAATGTGAATAGTGTATGCGTTCAAAATAGGATTCAATTCATGGTAAGCAAATAGGAACATCCAAGTGTTGGAACCACGGTTTAAGTCATGGTTAGGTAATAGGGACATCCACGTAATCAACAAGGATTTTCTCCATTCTTTATTTGGAGATTGAAAGATGATCATAGAGTTGTGAATATATAATTTTGGAAAATTGATGGAGTTAACGAGGCTTGTGAGTGAGATTTTTGTTGTTGGGTTTGACGACACCGATAAAAACACACGGTGAGCCTAGAAGAGCATAAGAAAGAAGATATGGAATAGTACATATTAAATTAGATCATATAATATATATTAGTTTAAAGGTAATCTTCAGAAAAGTCCAAATATTTTGGTTTATTGGTAATAAATAATGAAAAAGCCCTAAAATTTTGATTAATTAATGAAAAAGCCCCAAAATTTGGATTAATTAACGAAAAAAGAAGAGATACCGGCTAAATCTGTGAAACCGGCCACGAAGGGTTAATCCGAAGTTTTAGCCGGTAATCTGTCCTTTTTTGTAAATAAAATTTAATATAGGACTAAATCGTAAATTGGGTTAAAATATTGAGATTTTTTCGCAGATTTCCCTTTTATTTGTGAGGGACTACGGGACTATAGACGCAATAAAAACGTATATTAGGGACTATCCTGAATTAAACAAATAAGTTAGGAATCAAATATGCAAATTATCCCAAACTACAAGGATCATTCATATAATTTACCAAATAAAGATATATCATTAAGTAAATTAAATTTAAACGTATTTTATTCGGCTAATATATATGGTATATGTATTTTAACTAGTTAAGAATTAGATAGGAACGAAATCTTAAAGTATATTTAAAAAAAAAAAGTTGTTACCAATATGTAAAGAATTAGATATGATTAATTAAACATATAATTAAAGCACAACATCCTTATAAACAGTACTTAACTATGGTACTGTTCATCAAGTTTGTTTAACTGAGGTTTGCTTAACTGATGTTAGTTTAATGCTTCTATTACCCCACCGCCTTTCATCTTCCACCGCCTAAGATCCTTTCCATTAATCTTCTTCACTACTTACCGTCTGCACAAGGAGACCACGAAAGCTGCAGTAGTTTCCTCACCACCATACTCGCCGGTCACCGGTCAGCCTGTTGATTTTCGGCCGCCCCCACTCAGGTAGGTATGAAAGGGGTAGCGATTTTAGTTCACTTTCTTTATTATTGTTACAATTACTATATCACGAAAATGAGTTCACTGATTGGTCTTCTCTTCCCAAGATTTAGGGTGGAAATACCACCTCAAAACCTCTGCACCTTGATTTTAAAAAAAATATATATTTACAAACGTTTTGCTTGCAGCTCCTCTCTAATCTGTTAAACTGCACCCGCATTTTAAAT